CTCGCTTCCCCCCACAAATTCAATTGGGCGTTACCTTCCCAAGAAGAATTCAAAGATTACCGTGCCGAGTAATAATTTAAGGTATCTTCGCATGCCATATTTGACATAGTAGTTTTATGTTTTGCCTGAAGGTTTTCACCAACTTATTCTGTTTCTATTCTTCTCTTAGATTTTTGAACAAGGCTTGCCTCATCAGAAATCCTGAAGCAGACATCGCCCTCGATGGCTCAGCTGTAAACCCATGGACGCTTTGCACAATTGAGCAAGTCGAGGAGCTCAAAGCTGTTGCAAAGGTCGCAGCATTGCTGAGCACAGGCGTTATGTTGTGGGTAACCGTAAGCAAACCCAAATTCATGTTACTCCAGGCTGGCATCATGAACAGGCAAATTTCAGATAAATTTGAAATCCCAAGAGGGACATTTGCTGCATTTAGCATTATAGTAATGCTAATGGGGGTTTTGCTCTATGACCATGTGGTTATCCCCTTGGGCTCGAAGATCAAAGGTGAACCAATACATATTGGTGTCAAATCGAGGATGGGAATTGGGCTGTTCCTCTCGTCGATGGCAATGGTGACCTCAGCGGTTGTTGAGAGTATCAGAAAAGAGAAGGCTATCACAGAAGGCAGCTCCGATTATAAGTCAGCGATGTGGCTTCTTCCACAGCATTGTTTGATTGGCCTAGCTCAAGCGTTTACTATAGCAAGACAATTAGAGTTCGTCTATACGGAGCTCCCCAGGAGCATGTCCAGCGTTGCCGTTGCTCTGTTGGAGCCAGGAATGGCTGTGGCCTCCCTGCTATCCGATGCTGTATCAAACACCGTGCTTGACCTATCTTCCAAAGGAGGGGAGGAGATGGCTTGGACTGACATAGACAAAGCTCCTTTGCACTATTATTACTGGGCCCTTGCCATTATGAGCTGCATAAGTCTACTCTATTTCTGCCTCTGCAGCCGGGCTTACTGTCCCTGTGGTGAACCATGCGAGGACAATGGAGCTGAGTTAGATGGAGCTGACTTAGATGGCACGTAGATATCTTTGGCATCCTTAGCTTTGATATGTTTCAGTAAAATATGTTTCTTAGTCTTATCTTCTTCTACTTTATCTTTCATATTTTATAAATGTAATGTAATTTTTAGTATTTCTCTTACCAGAGCATATTTTATTTTTGGACCGCGATTGGTGCACATCCGGATTTAACACCCGGGTGTGCACACTCCACGTAACCAAAGAT